ATAGAGAAGAGATTAAAAAGCATTTATTATTTTTCTTCAGGGACGTTAAATATTTTTGAAGAAAGTGACTAATGATTTTAACTTGTAAATTGTATTTTGTCCTACCTAGTTAAAACCTTTTTTCAGCAATGAGTGGATAGGTAGTGTTACATGAATTTTATTCTTGCACGTTATTAAAAACTGTGTTAAAAATATGGGTGGCTAAAGTAATTTTCCTTGTTAATTACTAAATACATCATTTCATTTCTTTCTCTTAAAAGCCTTATATTAATATTGGGTTTTTGTTGTTTTTGCTTTTACAGTATTATAAGATCGATACTAAGGACATGGTTTTCACCTAACTTCATCAGCACACATAATTTTTTTCTTCTTTTTGGACTCCTTATTTTATGCCATAATGGTAAGCTACACTTCAGTAGTTCAGATTTGTGTTTTAGAATGTTCTTTTCCTTCATCATCATAAAAATATTTGTATTATGTATACAGAAATTTTCTTGAAAGCTGTGCAAATTATCCTAATTGGGAAATTTACATAGCAATCGTGTACAAAATCTTCTCCATAAAATATGTGGCTCCTCTCTCAGTTCAATCTTACAATTATTACATCCAAGTTACACAGATAATCCATGTGCTTATATTTATGAAATATTAAAAATATTTGTGTACCATATTCCAAGTCATTGGCAAAGAGGATAAGTATAAATACAAATAGTTTTTTGCGGGGGGGCTAGTCATAGGTTTCTCATATTTTAAAGCTCCTCTTTATTTAGATTTTTAAAAAATTTTTTTTAAAATGTAACCTGCTTACTACATGTAACATGTTTTAAGCAGCGTCAGTGCTAGCCTTCTAATGACACATTTCTGTTCTCTGACTTATAGTCACTAAACATACTTAGGAGTAGGCATTTGACTTTTGCAGTTAAAAAATTAAAGGCCATAGTGGGGTGCAGAAACACTTTCAAATGTTCTAAAGAAAATGCATTTGACAGAGAATTAATGAATATTGACCACCATGTTATTCATTCATTGAGATAAACCCCAGTTCTGTGACATAAACCTTGGAAAACATTTAAGTATCTTCCTTCTCCTCTTGGGATCTTGCCTATCTACCTGTTCCCTATTAGAGAAAAGTGGAACTGGCACAGTGGGGTTCTGACCTCGCCTTATGTTTTACATCTATATTACTTAATCGTTTCCATCTTAAGTATTTGAAAGAGGCAGTGAATCAATGATGCTTATGTATGCATATGCAGGTATATCTCAGTAGACCTTTTAAAGTTTTGATTTCAGAAGATGAAATAATTTACTTGAGATGACTATTTAAAATTGTGCAAGAGTATATGTTTGTATTTATTATAATTTTTTCATATAAACATACTTTGAAATTTCATGGCCAAAATTTAAAAGAACCTTACTTGTTTGTCAAGATTATATATCCAGAGTTAATGTTTTCATGCTGAAAAGGGTTATATTCAGGAATCTTATCTTGCATTCTGATAACCATTTTCATTAGGAATCTGTTCCTTTAAGATTTTTTAATAAAGTAAACTGTTATAGATTTATTTTAACTGAACCTTTTGAAATGATGGCAAATTTCAGACTTCACTTACTACAATTTAGATGTTTGATAATGTGGGTTTCTTTTGATTACAGTCTAACAAGGCCAGCTTTCCTTGAATGCAGGCAAAATGGAAGAAAATTAAATTAAAAAATAATAAAAAGACCAATTATTTTTGTAATCATACAAATTTTTAAGCCTTAGGACTGGGGTGGCAGGATCACATAAAACTTCCCATGATTTACAAAAGGTGACAATATTTGTTCTTCCCCCTACCCTTCTGGGTTTTGGTGGATGCTAGGAGTGTTTACCACATGCAGCTTGGTAGGTTGAATTATTAGAATCTGGAAAATAAAACAGAAGAATTTAGGTCTTTGTAAAAAAAATTAAATTTCTGTGCCCTGAATGAAATTTTAAAATGACTATCATTGTTAATGAAAAATACTATAACTCTACATGACACAAAACAAAAAACTAGAAAGAGAAATCACTTGTGGTGTATTTGTTTAACTTTGTTTAGACCTAATACTTTTTTTTGTATGTGCCTTTAGAAAAAAAAGCTTTATAAATGAGGAAGACATAGCCTACCGTCTTCATATTTCTCCCTCTTGCCTTAAAATAAGGCTATCTAAGAAATAAATGGATAGGGATCTACTAGTAGATCTCAAACCTTACATGTAGTAATGTTATATTTAAACTATTCTAAGATGCATTTTCTTTTAATATTACCAAATTGGTCATGAATCTATAATGAATATCTTACAATTGACATCATATTTTTTTCTTAAGGTTACCTTAAATAATGATGCATGCTTATAATTGATGGCATCTTAAATTCATTGAAACACGGTAATGATATAGCCATCATTTATTGCATTCCTACAGAGACGTTATATTAAAGGTTCTTTGCATTAATGTATTATGAGTTTCTGGTGTTGATGTTAGAGACCAGCACAACCACTCCAAATTTTCAGGACTTCTAGCAGATTAGGAAAGTTTAGTCTTTGCTTCACTTCGATTGCATGTTTATGACAGTATATTTTCTTAAATGGTGCTCTTAGAATATTGAAGAAATTAAAGTTTATAAAGTGGTGATAGCTACCACATCTAGCTTTCCCCTGTATCATTCTCACAGGCACTGAGCGGGGATACCATGTGAGCATTTCTTACCTAGTTTGTTGTTCAGGTGCCCAAGACGGCCGTTATTTTTTCTGTGTTACATATGTCGATCATATAATGGGGGTGGAGGAGAGAAAAGAAAATACATTAGACCTGTTTTAGAAAATGAAACACATTTAAACACTTAATTACAAATGTTAAATGTATATTAAATTATTTTTATGAAAATAACTAATATTACCAAATACACTATTTACTTTTTACAGCAACAAGCTTTAGAACTAGCTTTGGATCGTGCAGAGGTGAGGCGTGACTAAGTTACATATTGAAATAGTATTATCTTTAATTGGCAAAAACTCAGTTTTAAGAGATTTTTGTATGTGATTTTCAAAGGAGTATATTAATATTCTTTTAGGACAAGTATGCAAATAATTTTTCTGTAAATATGTAAAAATACCAGGTGATGTTTGGGTCATCTGTTACTTGGAATCCATGGATAATAATGCTACGGAATCAAAATTACTTGAACAAGGACGTAGAATTTCTAAAATTATGTTTTCCTGTTTTGACAAGTTTTCTAATTACTCAAAGGAGAAAATAGCTAAAAAAAAAATTAGAGTCCTTGCAGTTAGATATACAATTTTTCATACATTAAGCATATTCTGAGCAATCATAAAGCATATTGAGAATATTTGTGACCTGTGAAATCACAGTTGTAAAACTTACAATTTTGCTTATAGCAGTGAAATACTGTGCTAAATTTTAGTGCAGTTTAAATTTCACTTGTTTGTAATATATACTTAAAAGTTGTTTTTCCTACAAGGTATAATTTAACATGAGTCAGAGACTTGAGTGAATAGTCTTTTTAGTCTTACATATATTTTAGATATACTCAATACAGTTGCTTATGCAGAAAAGCAAAAGGCAAGCTGTTTTCATAAACTTTTCTTTTTTAGTATGTCATTGAAAGTGCCCGACAGAGACCTCCTAAAAGGAAATACCTATCAAGTGGAAGGTATGAATATTTAATTAATTGATGACATCTTAGATTAATTGAAATATTATAATCACCATTTATTGCATTCCTACTAGGCACTGAGCTAGAAATGTTATGGGTTCTTTGCATATATTAGGAATTTCTACGTTGATGTTAAGCTACCATATGTAATCACACCCCAACTTTTGGGAAATTAGGGAAAATATGTAAAAAGTTAGGAAAAAACTAAAATAACATTTATATCATGATTACTATGTTAACATTATTTTGTATAATATCTTTGTTAAATTTTTTTTTTTAGAAAATCTGTATTTCAAAAACTTTATGACTTATATATTGAAGAATGTGAAAAAGAGCCTGAGGTTAAGGTAAATATAAATTTTTTATGGTATTGTGGCTTTTGAAATGTAGAAGAGGGAAATTTGAGGAGTTATATATTAAGCATTTAATGATTTATATTTTTGTGAGTCACCTAACATCTTTTGTAACCAGACTCTAGTCAGTTCTGCAGCTAACCCAGATCCCTGGCTAAACTGGTACCAAACAGATCATCTTCTGAGGTAGGAGTGAAGGAACAGTGTTTACTGAATGACAGAATATCTCACCGGGAAGTCATAAGCAAAGTCACAGATACATATTATCTTTTGTTTCTACTTCCCCTTGAGAAGTGATTTGTAAACTTAAGACAGGAGAAAAGTAAGCTATGTCCTCATGGTGATTTGCACTGGAAAGTCAAAGCAATTACAGGATATGTAGAAAATTCAAATGTGGTAATAAAAGGCAAATTTGTTGGTAATAAAAGGTGAATTTGGTCATAAAATGAATTCATAGCTAGTTTAACTTAATTCATTTTTATTTAGCATAAAAGTATGGGCAGTAGAAATGTAGCAGAAACTGTTTTCTTGATATCTTTTGAACCCTCATATTAGAAGGGCCTTAGAGGTCTCCATAAGCTCTGTTGTCTGCCTTTAATTTAGAAAGGAGCACCATCTTAGCATTTAAGCAAAAAATGGTGGGATTCCAGTAGTGTCTAACCTTTAAAATCTTTACATTAGGAAAAAAATAATTGTTACACTTATAAATAAATCTTACAATATGTTTTCCATAAATTGTATTGAAGTATATTCGACATACAAAAATTGCACGTTTAATATTTTTTTTTTTAAGTTTTGACGTGAATAATAGTATACATCCTGTGAAACTGTCTCCACAATCAATATAATGTATGTATCTTTCACCTCAGAAATAGAATTAAGATAGGAGAGATACATGCATACATAAAGATTCTCTATTGGGGTTGGTAAGCCACTGTCCAGCAGCCAAATCTGGTCCACTGCATGTTTTTGTAAATGAATTTTTATTGGAATGCACCACACATGTTGATTTATATATTATCTATGGCTGCTTGTGAAGTACAAACACAGAGTTGAATAGTCGCAGCACAGACTATATAGCCCAAAAGCCTAAAATACTATCTTACCTGGCCCTTTAAAAAAGAAATTTTCCTACCTCTAGTCTAAATGGATCAACTCAGTGGTGGTCAACTTGTTTACTTGAAGAGGTACACATACTGTCAGAATTTATCTAATTCTGTCGTAAGTCAAATTATGAAAGTTTTCTCTCTTTTAGTCCCTTCTTTACCATTTTTTTTAAAACTTAACATAAATATGGTTAAGAGTTGTTTGTCCTTTTTTTTCGTTGTCAAACTGCTTATTATAATTCTATGGTGATGATAGATCAAGAATTTATAATTCCCCTCTACATATGGCTATATATA